AAGAAGAAGAAGAAGAAGAAGAAGAAGAAGAAGAAGAAGAAGAAGAAGAAGAAGAAGAAGAAGAAGAAGAAGAAGAAGAAGAAGCAAGAAACGCTACGACGCAGGCGGTTGCTGACGCCGATAATGTCATAAGAATAAATCCGATTCCCAACTTAGGACCAGGAGCCGATCAAGAAAGTGCAGAAAGTGCATCAGGCAGAGTTCCTACACCGCCATCGCCACGGACAACCATCAATAACCAAGGGCCCGTAGAAATTCCTGCTTTCCACTATCATAGCGCTTTGAATGATGGAACTAGGCACAACGGTTCTGAACGTCGCTCTTTCGCCGCTAATGGCAACAACCAAGGTATGATGGTGCTCCAAACTGTCGGGGACAATCTGTTCAACGAAAGACTCCAGCAGAACAATCTGAAAGGCCTATATCCTTCCAAACTGCAACGTCGAACGCTCGCTCCTCGATCCAGTCGATTACAAGCTCAGAAACCGTAACAAAAGACGACCCGGAGACACCAGACTCAGCAGGCAAGGATGAGAACAGGGATTCGGATAATGAGACGTCGATGTCAACGGATCAGCAAGTACGAACACTTGTAGATGAGCTACGGAAGGTTCAACAGGATAAGAGAGCACTTGAAAAGAATCTCAACAAGGCAGAAAGGGAGATTGACGACCTCAACATCCAACTTGACGAAGCACAGGAGCGAGCCATTCAGGCTCCGTGTGACCCTACGACGACAGAGGCATACTGCAATCTGGCATCGATTCTCCGCGACCGCCGGGCTCAATGCGAGGAGCTTCGTATTCAGCTGAAACAATCGCAAAAGCGAGAGCAGGAGCTTGAACAACAGCTACACCAAGCAAGACAGAACGTTGAGCATAACGAGAATATCATTGGGTATTTGAATGGTCAACTGAGTGCTGCGACGCTCGAGAGGGACCAGAATGCTCGGACCGCCGCGGCATTGCAGTATCAGCTGCACAATTCTCGACAACAACAAGGTGTACAAGCCGACCATCTCGGGAACCTGACAAATGCGCTTAACCACGCAAATCAAGACCGAGCGAGGTTTGCAAGTCTTGCAGAACAGTTGCAAGAGCAGCTCCGGGAACGTCAAAATACCGCCGACAACTTGAAAACTAATAGAGATCTTACACGTTACCAGAGCCCGGATATGACTGCGAGGAGTACATCGACGATCACGGTGGAGAAATTTGATGGAAAGCTGAGCAAAGTTAAGCGCACAACAAAACAGAACGGACAGCTTTCCGGGTAGCGGGTTGATTGAGAGACCATTACAGCACAATGAGATGAGACTACCAGATGACAGGCTTGTCACGGTTCTAATGACCTTTGTAGTCTTGTCATGACTGTCGTAATCTTAATTTCGCTAGGAGTTGTTTCTATCGTGGACTAATTTAAGCTCTCAGCAATGGGGCAAAGGTGACTGTACCCTTTCCGAGATGTACTAGATTTGATGGGATTGTGGGAGATGGTATCGAGGTCTGGTTGAAGATGTTGTCAACATAGGACAGTATCAAGAAATCTTGTCTCCTAGCCCGAGCCGAAGCTAAGCCGGTCTTGGCACATAGTCACGTGCATATTATTATGGTATAACAAGCATTTATCTATTAATCCACTTCTAATAGCTGGCGACAAGGGATGGCTCCATACAAAGGCAGGACAGCTATGCATCTGCTCTAAAAATATCTAGAAAGAATACCACACTGCCCCATCCCGTGCAAAAGATATATCCCGGCTATGAACCCGCGTCTTGAACACGAAGCCCCACTGGTAAAGTTACTCAACGCAAGCCTGATCGGAAGGGAAAATAGATGATAGGAATCATCCCAACGGGACAAACGATAGATTTGAGCCACTTTCCTAGGGAATTGCAGTAAGCTGTGCTCTATATACGCTCTAATAAAGGAAGGGGATCATGTAATCTGCGCGAGTTTACATGCGTGCACGGTGGGACGTGGCCGATGCATGCAGACTCCCGGGGAGCACCCTCATGGCACACCCATCAGTTCATCTATCTGAAAACTCGGCGCTTTTAAATCACAGCGCATATCCACTAAATCAAGATAGGTAAAGTAGGTGAAGCAGGCCTTGCGACCATTCAATTGTTATGTACAGAGAAGTGAAGTCATCCATCTCCCCTAGTGGAGTTCCATCCGGCCAGCTATCGCGCTTGTCTAATGCAGCGGAGGAAGTAGTATCCTATCAAACCCCATCTCATCTCGCAACAAGAACAGGAGTTTCGAAGTAAGATGGAAGAAAAATTCACAAATGCTCGCTATGTTATGCTTACAAGTATCCAACACCTGAAAGTCAGGTCAGGGGCTATAAGAACAAGGAAAGGTCAACTCCGAAGAACGCCGTGCTATGCAGGTGCATTAAGCGGCTAGAAAGTGCCGTTTCTAAACGAAAGATCGAAAAGAGATTTTGGTTCGAGGTGGAAGAGAACATGCGGACCACTCAATACGTAAAAGCTTCCTCGATGAAATCCATATGGCAAGTGTCCACGCGTCTCCGCACCGCAGCCCTCACGTCGTCCGTGAAAGGCCCGGCACCGCACACAGTCACCGCAACGGCGCCGACTCGCGTCGCGATCTCGCGATCGAGCACGCTTGGGATGGGACACCGGCCCGGATGCATAGTGATCGTTTCGCTGACGCTGCGGATCTCTTCTGGCCGTCGGGGTTTCGAAACGAAGATCATCATCTTGAAGACCTCTTTTCGCCTCGGCATAGACAGGATCTCATCCATCCAAGGCTTGATCCACTCGAGGCACTCGGCGCTGGGGACTGTCCAAACGAGGACGACCTTGCGTGTGGCGACAGTGCCGTCGGCGAAGCCTTGGAGGAGCTCGCGCACATATTGGACTTGGTGCGTGATACCAACGCCGGCGGCGAAGAGGAGGACAGTGCCGTATGATTTTAGAGAGTCGTGGCCGCCATAGGGTCCCTCAATAGCGCCCCAGGTAGTGAAGGTGTTGTTCGGGGAGTTGGAGGCTTTCTCGTACATGAGGCGCGTAATGCCTTCTCGAGCGCGGCAGATGAGCGAGATGCTACGGCTGGAGCGGCGTAAGCTGAAGAGCTCTTCGATTTCCTTTTCCGATGTTGGTAGCTTGTCTTCTATGGGTGACCATTCCTTGTCTGGTTTACTCCAGGCCACTGAGAAGGGATGGGAGGTCCACCATTGGAGGGCGGGAAGGTATATGTGCACGTGACAGCCAGGCCGTGGAGTCCAAGGTCGAACCATATCGACGGTAACGCGACACGCTTCACCGTGTAGAGCCTCGATTTGAACGCGAGTGCAGCGACGACGACCCAGGTTGAACCAGACAATCCGAGCGACACGGAAGAACCATTCCAGACCCAGAAGGGTAAAGACGATCTTGATCCATGGGAGCTGAGGAAGGTGATGAAGGTCTATGTGCACGTAGACTCCGATGATTGCTACGATGGCCAGGATGCGATGCGCGGTAAGGAATGTCTCGTAGAAGGAATGCCTAATCGGTGAACAGGCCTGTACGACCATGAACAAAAAGATAGCAGTCCCTACCATGCCCCACTGGTAAGATGCGTTCGCCTTCAGTACCTCCCCTACGCCGGCCCAGTTGCCTGCATGGTGTGTGTTGACAAGCCAAGCGAGAGTGTGGACAAGGGACTCAATAACGACTAGTCTCGCGGCCCATCGATGCAGAAGGTTGAAGTCGTCGTAGCTGACTTTGAGGATCCAGATCAGAGGGTTGTTACGAAGCGCAAACAGGATAGTCGGAATGAGATTCAGCGCAGCCAAACTCCCACTCCGGCCTCTCAAAGCTGCGATCACGGATGAGGAGTCAGGCCTGTCCCACGGGAGAACCAAGCAGTATGCGATGTTGCTCAAGAGGTAGACGGCGAGCAGTAGGGTATGGAATCGGCCGGGAAGGGTTCCGTTGGCGACAGTGGAGGACAGCTGGAACGGACGGTTGTGGCGATGCTTCCATAGTGGCGCCATGAACAGATGCTTCTGCAGCCATGGCCACCACGAGGTGCGGTTCTGTCCCCAATATGCTTGCTCCTTCTTCCCCATCGCGTTTAGATGTCGCATGTGTGCGCTCCATAGCTTGGCAAGTCGTAGAAGGAGAGCCGCTCCACACAGTGCCATGAAACAGACAACAAGAACGTTAGTCCAGAGGTAGTTCCCGGTCTGGTCCACGCCTGACAGGCCGTGCGAGTATTCGAAAGGATCATCGTAGGCCAAGTCGGGGAGGAGGCCGCGTTTCTCGACGCTCGAAATCGATGCAGTGTCTTGCATATGAGGGGTCGTTCTGTGCTTATGGAGGTAGGAGTGTAGGAGTCCTTGCGTCGGCATGGCGGCCCGCGCAGGAAGAGTCGTGAATGTCGTCACGCCAGAGAGGTGCAGTGGCGGGTGGTGTTGCTGAATAGTTGACGTTGAGAAATGAGACTTGGCAAGATCCAACTGGTGAGAAGGCACTCCTGAGTGCTGGGAGCCTTGGTTGGATTGGGTAGGGTCAAAAATTCGAAGAAAGAGGGTCCAAAAGGATCCGCGATATATTTAAACGGACCGGTTGTATTGTCAGGTGTATTGTCATGAATAGTGGTGGTGAATGTGACAAGACAAAGTGACAAAGAGACGAACAATGCCAAGTCAGCGAGCAGACATGACAATGACTTTGTTCGAGAGTTGAGTTGGTCTCTGCGGGGACCCGAAGAATGCTAGTCTAGGCGTCGCTGTACAATGTTCAACAGTGTACGAGGTGGACGATGGCGCGGTGTATATTCGAGACCAGCCGAAGGTTGCGCAAGGAGTAGTACCAAGGTAGGTAGTAGAGAATAGCGACCGGGCAGTTGTCGACGGTGATGTAGACAGCGGTGCAGAAGGAAAGAGTGAAGTCGTCGATTCCGGGCGCAACGAAGGTGAAGTTGGCGTCAGTCAATAGCGACACACGAGAGGTAATAGCGGATAGGTGGAATGAATGGGAGATGGAGTCGTGAAGTATAGGAAAGGAAACACTAGCACAAACGACAGTGGCAGTTTCGAAACGAGTGACTGTGAGCGCGGTGGGGAGAGCGAGGAAGACCAGGAGGGAGGTGGTTTTGATGGCCTCACCGACCTCCCGGGACAAGTGGCGCCGCAGCCAATCAGTGAGGTTTGAGCCGTCTTTCTGCAGGAACAAGCCGCCAGGGCCGTGCAAACAGCGGGATGCCGCCAGCCTATCGACACGAAACCGCCGCCAGCCGGGGTCCCGGCGGACGCAATCAGCGCCTCCAGAGCCGCCTGCGCAACCCATTTCTCACACCACGCTGCTCGACCCAGGGCAGCATCGCCAGCCACTCGCCCACGGCGAAACAGCGTCATCAAATTCTCACGCCGCGATGAGCCGACAGCACTCCTGCCCACGTCGCCATCTTCTGTCGTGGCCCGCGCCCAGCGAACAGGCCCGTTTCAAGATGACGCCCTCGCGGCGCCACGAGAGGCCAACCTCGACGCCAGCTTGGCGAAACAGCCCGAGCCCTCAACGGCCTGAATCGCTATCGATACCATCTCCATCGTATCTAGGCCCCAAAGATCCAGGCCTTTGCCAGGAACAGGCCAGGGGACTACTCCTCCTTCTTCAACTCCTGTCTGCCCACCTGCGACACCTCTCCTCTCCGTCCATCACCACTCGCTCCCTTCTCTCCCCTCTCCCTCCTGCACTGCACTCCAAACCCTCCTGCTCCCTTCACCCACCCGCACGCCTCCACGCACCTGAAACCCCTGGCTGAACCCAGCCGGCCAAACTTCCGAGCCTGCAGCGCCCCCTGCAGCGATCCCGCCTGCCAACCCTCACGCTCCCCCTTCACCAGCCCGAAACGCACCATGGGGCCGCTCCGCTGCTATGTATTGTGCAGTAGGTAAGAAAGCGTGATGGTAGCATCATCGATAAGGTCTCGACATCTCCGAGCTCCAAGACGCACCAAGCTGCTTCGCGTGCGGAGCGACGTGTTTGGTGAAGAGAGGACGTTTCACGCAAAACTCGTTGCCAGTCCTGTGGCGCTGGCCATCTCCGTTGGCCGTGACGCACGAAGTCGGTGTGCTTATCGTCGGCGCTTCGCTTGTGCGATGGCGGAGATTCTGAGCCAAGTTCTGCGTATTCATCTCGTTGCAGTTGCTGGGGAGGGCACAGCGGCCCCGAGGTTGCACGGGCAGTTGAGACTCGGCGTGTTGGTTCCTGCACCGGCTGTGTTGGTTGAATCCTACTTTAAGAAACCTCACTGTACGTCCACAGAGGTCTAGATTTAGATAGAGGCTGTAGACCACCTGCCTAGTTGGCTTGTTAGCGTGGTTAAGCATAAGTCGACGGATTTATTGATCCTCCACTCGAGCCGATCGATTTCCTGCTGACCCTGAGATGATCTCCTTATATCCTGTAGAAAAGGAAAAATACAAATTTTGGGCAAAAACAACATGCGCTTAGCGGGATTCAAACTGGCAAAACTCGAAGAGGGTACGCTGATAACCGCATCCCTAGGCTGATGAATGGAATACAATGAAGTTCATCAGATTACCACTCGGCCAATAGGTTTGGTGTTGTTACAGCGAGCCGCCCTTGGAGTTCTGTGAGCTACTCAGAATTCACTGGTATATAACCTCTGGATCATTGTTGTGGGTTTTCACAAAACATTTAGCGGTTATTCGCAGGAATGCTCAACGCTCACGAGAGCTTACACGTGCACCATTACGCAGCAGCCCTGGCAGCAATAGTATGTTAGCCGCCTGTCCCATGTCTCTGAGCCGTATATACAGTTTGTAGATTCGTCAATTTCTACCAAGTGGATAAACCAGACACTCCCTCGTCCCTCATGCACATGAAGACCGCACTCAACGGCCACCATACATCGTGAACTATCAGACCTCACACCGACATCATCATGAACACGTCCTAATACCCAAGCCCCACTCACAGTGTACAAAACAGCCCACCACCCACATACCTCGCATTGATACCCAGATACTATACGAAAACAACAAGAAACAACGACTTTTAACGCTGCGGCCCATCCACCCCACCAAGCTTACTCACCCGATCCGGCCCGTCGCCCGCAAAGTTCATCTGCATGAGCGCTTCACGGGACCACTCTTCATCGCCGCTGCTCGACAAACTCGTGCGGTTCGCGACGCGCAGCCCACCTCCCTGGTTCTGCGACGGCAGCGTCCAGCGGTCGCCATCGTCTAGCGAGCCCGTCCTGCCCGGGTCCAGGAAGGGTTTGTTGCCGTAACTAGGCTGCGGTGGGCCCGTGTCCTCGTGCTGGACGCCTGGTAGAAGCGCGCTGGGGAGAGGAGAGGTGTGGCCGGAGGCGTATTGTTGGATCGGAGTGTTATTCTCGTCGAAGACGCCTCTGGCGTCGACAGGCGAGTAGGTGATGCCGCCCTCGCCGGCGATGGTTGGGAACATCTTTCGCGTCTCCGTCGGTGTCTCGTCGTTAGCGCCATCGCTCTGCGAGCGGAACGAGCCGGCGGCTAGTTCAGGAATGGAGTCTGCGTAGGGACCAGATGGCATTTCGGAAATGCCAGTTGGTAGCGGGGCATAATTTGAAAGCTGGCTGGATTGCTGGAGTCCTATATTCGACATCTGGGTTGTCATCCCCAAGGTGCTTCCCTTCAGGCTACCCTTAACGCTTCCAGGGCCGCCGCCGTTTCTAAAGGTGCTCGTGCTGGAACGGCCAGCCATGCCAGGCTCTTCGGTGATCTGGCTGTCTGGGCCTTCAGGATCACGGATGCTGAACTGTGCGATGGTTCGCATCTTCCTTGTGACCCAGCCCGCGAGGATCTTGCCTCGCTGCTTCTCGCCGAGTCGAGAGCGGTGGAAGTCTCCTTTGCTGACAAAGGCGACGACGTCGGTCACGAGATGGTGCTCGTTTAGGATGGCGTTGACAATGACAGGCACGACTGAAGCTAGGAAGCCCTTGCGGAATATTTCCACAACGACTACAATTAAGCCTCCTGCTTGGAAAACAGCGCTACGAATGTTGTTAGCTTGTACTATACGATAGAAGGACGGGAGGGAAAGAATGACGAGAATTAAACGAGAGGAATGTATGACTGTGCTGTCTTAAAATTCGGGGACGAAGGGGGCTACGCACCAACCGCCTGGAACGACATTGCGGTGACATTTCTCTACTGAAAGCTCTATGTCACTTGAGAAGTGATTGAGTCCGTTGACTTCGAATGTATCACCGATACTGCCCAATACGAAGAGGATTTGCATCTCGACTGAAGCACCGCCGGGTCCGATGGGTCTGCTCACGTTGTGTAGGAATCCGAGATCGCCGGTTCGAACATAATGCACGTTAGGATCACCATCAACTGTCCGTCCATTGAACCTTTCGGCATCAAGAAGCTCCTTCGATCCGTAGAAGCTGTGTGCGTTGGCTTCAGATTGTACCCAAATCTCGCCATACTCGCCGACTAGGCACAGGTGGTTCGTTTCGGGATTGACAATGGCGATCTGTGTGCTGACGGGTACCATCCCGGAGTCTTGCACAAGAAGAGAGAAGGGTTCGTTGTCAGGGTCTACGGGGATAACTAGTCCTCGCCTGAGAGCACTCATATCCAGCCAAAGCTCAATTGGTTCGATGCACATGTACGACCGGGAAGCCACCATCGGGTTGAGGACGTGGGAGTAGATTGTGTTGATGGCTGTTCTGTCAAGCCCAGCTTGCGCAAAATGTACACGCACCTTTTGGTCTGGTGCACGTCAACGTTAGCTAGAGCTACAATGTATAACATATCGTGCAGACTTACAGACATCGACTCTGGGTCGACCATCAGTTGCAATCATCAAGTTCTTGAGCTCCTGAAGAACAGTTGCTTTGCCAGCGCCATGAGCCATCGCATGATCCAACATCTGGCTCGTAGCATAGGTGTCCTTGATTTTGTATCTTGCTAGCGTCTGGAACAAAATGTTAGGATTTTGTGCGAAGTCTACCGGCGACACAAGGTAGGTCGGCGCAGCTGAATTCTGTTAGTACGTATTCGTGCCTGAAACCTCATGTTACAAACCTAGGAATATCCCCATGACACATGTGTGTATAAATCCAAGCCCAAGCGTGCTTCTGACGCAGCCAAGAACCGGCCTTGTACTAGTCATTTGACACGTTTCCTTCTGGACCTTGCAGAGGGCCATAATAGTATCGTGGCCTAATTGAACCGCGATGCGTCTTTGATCAGGGGTCCAATACGTCCAAATCAGTACTGGATATCCGCTTTGTACCCATGCAGGCCGTATTGTCAACCCTAGATCCCGACATCCACTAGATTGCTTGGGTGGTTTTGCTGTGTTGTAGGTACCTGGAAGGTTGACTCTCAGAATCATCGCTGACTGCTTCAAATGTTGAGATACCGTCTTGATCTTCATCAAGTGGTCCACTTCGTTGTTCACAAGTATTGCTTTCACTTTGAAATCCGCGATCATGTGCAGCATTGCTGGCGCGTCCTCGTTTAGACGATTCTGGTCGATGGGCGCCATTGGGATAGCAATTGCGCCGAGGCAAAAGCAGGCGTGGACGGCAAAGACGAAGTCCTCGGAATGCGTGTACATCAGGAGTAGATGATCTCCAGGTTGGACCTTGACCTTGTTTTTCAGGTACATTGCGACTGCAGCGACCTTAAGATCGAACTTTTTCCAATTCACACCCTTGCCTTCTCTTCCCCGGCCGTCTATCGTGCAGTAGGATAGTTCTTCGGATTGCCGAGAGACTCGCCATTGCATGAGGTCATGAATGTTTGAAAATTGATTCAGGGGAGTGGATGTCCGATCATCAATCACTACTTCGCGGTAGTCAACACCAGAGTATTGCTTATCTTGCATCATCAGCATGCTCTGCCGCGCGCGAGAAGCCATTGGAGACCAGATTCCACCGGATGGGTCGTCGCCAAGCGGGAGGTTCTGCACAGCTCTCTCGACTCCAAATTTGACATGAACACAAGGCAGAGAGCCGTTGTCAAATTCTTTGCGACAAAGCATATTTCCAATCTCTCTCCTACCGTTTTTGACTACTCTTGGGAGTTGGTTGGGTGCAGTAATCATTACGCAATAGACGCGTAGATGATGTTCTTGGTATAACACTTCCATGCACCGTTCGGAGAGAGAGTCCAAAAAGGGTATGTCTAGCTGTCTGGGAGGGCCGCCTGGGTTCGTTGGGTTCGTCGAAGCGGCCTGAGTTTCAATGAGGATGATGGGAAGGTATTCGCCATTGACGTGATTGTCGAAAGCAGAGCTACACGGATTAGTCGCAGCTATCGTTGCAGTCTTGGAACACTCACCAGTCGTAAATCTTAGGGACAGATTTCATGATGCTGACTACTAGGTGTTGGACAAAGAAGTAGCGGTGTTCTGCCTCTTGGACACCGTGTTCAACCCACTCCACTCGTTGGCGGATACGATCCTCATATAGACCGAGGACAAATATTTTCCCCTCAACAATACATCCAAGAAGACCTGTCCGAAGGAATTCTAGGTCAAGCAGAAGTGGAGTTGGGTTGCCTTCCACGAATCGATATGGCCGGGCGTGGAAGATGCTTTCTGTATGTTTCGGTAACGCCCAGAACCCTCCAGATAGAGATGGCGAGTCTACCCAGATTTCGCCAATGGTATACGGGCTGCAAAGCAGGTTGGTCTCTGGATCAACAAGAGCAAGCGTACCATCTGGTATGGGGTAGCCAAATGCGCCGATTCTCATAGTGCCGGGTTCGTTTGCTCGCTTCCTAGCTTCATCTCCCATCGCTAAGACAATGACTTCATTCATCTTGAGCGCCTCTTTATCAAGTAGAATCTCGGTCAATTCGGTTCGGCTCTTTTTGTGGTTGGATTTTTTGATATTGCCACCTCCAATGAGACTGCTGTAGCCATTTTGGGCGCCAACGTCCTCTGGTTTCTTCTCCTCAACTTCTTCTTCTGGCTCTTCCATGCTCAAAGGACACCCCATACGCTCCTCTCCACCCAACCAGTCTCTGACTGATACAATCATGCCTCCATGTTCTGGTAAACACAACATTGGCGCAACTAGTTCTCTTGCCCTAGGATTTCGCATAGGACGCAACCACCGATCCGCAAGGATTTCATGGAACTCACAGTCGACGGTCAGGGTATCAATCAAGCAGATTTTTACCGACGCGAAGTTTGGCTCGATGCCCTTTTTGAATGACCGTGTAGCCATTGGATCTTGCTGGTAGTTGTATGCCGCGCGCTTAAGCCCGGGGTAGTCGGCCACCATGATTGTTGTCTTGTACTTCGAAATCAGATGTGCATATAGACCTGGGGTCTCAACAGTTCGTGCTTCAAGCCATAAGGTGGTATGGCCGCCGTACACCCCGAACAATACCCCTAGTATTAGACCAGCACCCTCACGAGGGTCCAAGTAGCTCAAGATGGTCTCGCCATTTCCGCTCTTCGGGGTCCCGGCAATGAAATTCCCATTCTTATCCCGTAAACCTGTATGGAAGGTATCGAGGCCCTCTTTTCCTGAGGGTATAGTAGAGATAATGGCACTTATACAAGCCATTTGGTGCATGATAGTTCTGTGGCTGAGAACGACACCTCTCAAGTCGCCGGTAGGTGCTCGCGAAAACTCAATGTAAGCGAGGTCGGGTACTTGAAGTGGTGGTGCTTCGTCGTGCTTCTTTGGATGCCAACTTCCGAACTCATTCGTCTTCCACCATTCTACACCGCTAGGCCATTTTAGGCGGTTTTGGCTGATATCACGGTGGAATGCTTTTAGATTATTGTCGGTAGTGAGAGCTAGATGAGCTTGCGTGGTAGTCAGTAAAAGGCTTAGCTTCTGGTAGTCGTCGACGCTATTCATCGGGACTGCCACAACCCCAGCAATGAAACAGCCAAGGAGCGCGATGGCGAATTCGATAATCTCCGTATCACGGTAAACCAAAGCTACTCTGTCTCCACGGTAGAGATTGCTCTTATCCCTGATAACCTTTGCAACTTTCTCAGCACGGCTGTGAACCTTGTCCCAGGTAATTGACGAGACTTCTTTGCCTTTGGGGTCAAGCAGCCAATACGCGATCTGTTTGGGATTCGTCCTCCCACGGTGGCGTAACACGGCACCAATGTTGTCAAATTTTGACATGGGTACGTTGCCATTGTGGGGGTCGTACACTGCAAATGGTACGTCGCGAGGCTCCAATGGTAGTTGACACTCGACCGCCATGGCAGAAGGCAACTCGTTCTGTGAAAGCATCGGAGGAGGAATTGCAGCGGTAGGTGAGAATGCATCCCCGGAAGAATAGCGATTTGGGCCACCATAGCTGTCCCGATTATCCTGGATTTGTTGTCCCGCAAAATCGGAAAAGTAACCTTGCTGAGAGTCCAACATGGTGCTTAACCGGCTCGCATCTCCAGGCGAGCCAAAACCCCCGCCCGCTTGGTCATTGTAGCCGGGCTGATTTGCAGGATTGAATGCATAATCAGGGTTCATCATTGTCCCCTCTCTCGAGTATGTGTATGACTCTGGGGTCTGCGGTCGAGGTAACATAGATTCCCTCCCATACGATGGTTGTCTTTGCATCGAGTTATTCCGTACTCCAAGTTGGCGCTCTTGGAAACGTCCTACTTGGCTTGGTGGATACGCGATATATTCGCTTGGTGCGGTCATAGAGCCCTGCGCCTGCGGAGGGTATGGGGATGTCGATCGAGAGCTATCAATTGATGCTAGGTGGCTTGTGGATTGTGCGTTTAGTGCCGCCAATGACGCGGAGCGGGATCCATCGTTTGAGTATCGCTCATCTACAGGACTTTGCATCCGAATCACTGGTTGTTGAAGCTGCGGTGTCTGTCCGGCGCCGAGGTATTGGGAGAGGAGAAGTGTCCGCCGTTTCTCGTACCTTTATAACCCGTCGTGTGTCAATGCAAGACTTCCGGGAAGCGGACATGAAGACGAGGAGTGCAACATAGTGCATAGGAAAATTCGAGCGTACCCTTTCTTAGTAATATCCCCTTCCTATTCAGAAATTGGGGTCAGCACTGAGATATAGAGGGGTGCGCAAGGATAGTACATACCTCTAACTCATGCTCCAGCTCCTGGAGCTTAACCTCGAGCTCCGGATTGGTTTCCGCCATCGTAACGTGGAGACCTTGGGCAAGATCAGTGCGAATGAGTGGTGTATGAAGCTCCAGTCGTCTCAGATATGGATCGAGAAGTGCTGGAGATCAGAATACATGTCCACCATGCGCCGGCGCGTGCAGGGGTCGATGTTAGCAACGAGTGGAGTGCTGGGTCAGGAAACAGCAAGTGAAGGTTTGGGAGTATCGCGGTGGATGGCTCCGTGGGGTTGGGTTCGCTCCGTCGCGGTAGGACTCGTGGTTGGAGTTGGTCGCGTCCCACTCACAGAGGAATATGACGTTTGAGGGGATGCCCGTGAGGGACGTGCCGCCGCCACAGCTTGGAATACTCGAGCCGCAAGGGTCTCAACGGCCTCCATTCCGTACTCCACGCCCGTTGCTAAGACTTCAAAAAGCCATCGTCTTCGCGATTCGCCTCCTACTTGGCATAGCAGGACGCTGCGTCTCGAGCAACCTCCTTCGTCCATCGGCAGCCACAGCCTGACCACGGAGCCATCCGCAAATAGAACACGAAAGATTTCCACCGAGGCATTTCCGCACAGCTCGACGTGTGGCCTGCCGTATTCTACTGCTCCAATCCTTCATCCAAGGCTGGTGAATGCCTCGGTCCAGCGACTCGTGCGGGCTCCCATTTCCCACGCCCGAGCAACTATTATACCCTGCTGGCCTTCACGATTAGATGTCAATATGTTCACTCATCTTCTAAAGAGATATTAATACGACAGCTCTCGCTCTTATTCTATCTTTCCTTGTATAGCTACTTTAGATTGTACCCTTCGTCACGACTGTACTCCAAATGCCCCCCATAATGCATTCGACGCTTATCAAGCCGCCCGCAGTAGACTCCTCCATATCCAGGATTGAGAATGTCCTCGAATTGACCCAGCTGTCCGACATCGACCCTGACCTCTTCACAAACATGCGTCCGCTATGGCATCCTCCCGGAGCGCGAGGCATCTTCGGTGGTGCCGTCATCGCGCAGTGCCTGAGTGCTGCGCAGCGCACCGTTCGTCGAGACTTTACCGTCCATTCGATGCACTGCTACTTTGTCCTCGCCGGGAACTCTGAAATCCCCATAATATACCACGTTGAGCATGTTCGCGAAGGGAAGTCGTTTGCGACTAGGACAGTCCAGGCGCGACAGAAGGGCAAGGTCATATTCACAACCACCCTAAGCTTTGTGAAAGAAGACAGTGGAGGGAAGGTCAAGGTGGAACACACAACTCCGATGCCCGAAGTACCTGCCCCAGTTGAGGGGAACGATGATATATATCCCCAGGGCGACGAAGGCCCGTTCCAAAGTCAACGCGCCGAGATTTTGAACTGTAAGTCGGAGCAACAAGTTCACTGAAGTAATCTGACGATTTCAGACGAGTCCCCTCACCCGCACACAAAGAAGACGAGACAATGGATGAAAGCTCGAGGCCGTATATCTCCATCCGGGGGACACGAAGCCCATCTCTCAGCCCTAGCGTACATGTCGGACAGCTACTTCATTGGGACCATAGCCCGCGCGCACAAGTTGACGCGCTATTCCTCTTCGCGTACTGGGAACAGCAAATCTACCATAGACGAAGAAATGCTGAAGAAGCTACTCGCCATGGACGACGAGACGCTGAGGCGAGTACCTGGTATAGAGGACGATGACATCAAGCGACTGCAGTTGCTGAGACAAGGCAAAGACATATCAAAAGAGGAAATGAGGCCGGAAGTTGGGATGATGGTGAGCTTAGATCACAGTATCTACTTTCACAACCCAAGAGCATTTAGAGCAGATGAATGGATGTTTACAGAGATGGAATCACCATGGTCTGGAGACGGCCGGGGTTTAGTGTTCCAAAAGATGTTCACAAAGGATGGCGTGTTGATTGCTACGTGCGTACAAGAAGGTGTTGTGCGGCTAAAACAGCCGCCAGAGAGCAAAATATGAGCTGATCATTTATTTCTACTCTCCTTAGGACTCGGATGGAGCACGTGGGAAATAGCGATCTTCGGAAGCCCTTGTACAGGATGAACTCTTCGCATTTCAATAACGCAGCGCGTAGAGCGCTGAGCAGATTGCGATATATTACTTTAGACGTGTATAATCTTGCGTAGTTGAAGGCTTCTCTGGTCTTTGAGCATGCCTGCGATGAAACGATTCCAATTCTACCTGCAATATCATATCGTTTGTAAGTTTGCGACATCGCAGCCGGCTCGCGTCGCCACCTAATCCGAACTTCCCCGCGTCAGGACACCAAAGTGAATAGGTTGCCCATACGACACCAAATAGGAATTATCAATATTAGATTGTTGATGGATCGTACTATGGCTATTGATCCGGGCAATGCAGAACTCGAGGCTGAGCAGAGATTGCAAAGGTCAGGGACACAGAAGAAGCCAGCTTAACTCAAGAGCTTCCACTGTATAGCCGTTCCGCTAATATTGTGTAGCTTCTTTAACTCTGATATACTTTCTGATCTGACAGTTCGCTTCAGCGGTCGCGAAGTAAAAGCACACAAAGTCATTCTCTGCATTCACTCGCGGTGGTTCGCAAATGCACTCACAGGCAGCTTCCTGGTAAGGGCTAATATCTGATATCAATGTAATTGCTGAATGCTCGGTTTCAGGAGGCCTCTCAATCTACCCTCGAGCTTCACGATGACGACCCTCAAGCGCTTGAAGGAATGCTGCGTCATTTCTACAACTTAGAACCGATGTCCCCATGCGAAACGGACAGACCCTCGACCCCAAACCAGACCGATGCATCTGCGAAACTCAAGCATATTGTTCACCTCTATGCTGCCGCCGACAAATACGATGCCCCAGTGCTGAAGAAAGAGGTTCTAAGCAGCTTCATGACTCTTGCGCGCAAGGACTGGCTTGCTTTATGGAACTCAGGTGAACTACCTGATATCATCGAGGCCATCTATGCCTTCGCCCTTCGAAAAGACCGTCTACGAATCGCAGCTGTACAATTGTCCCTAGAAAACATCGGCAAGTTTCGCAAAAGCAATGTAGACGCATTCCGGGATTTAATTGAATCAGTTCCCGACTTTAGCGCCGACATCCTTATGCAGGTTCCACTCCCTAGCCCTGTCAAAGTATCAGCAGACTTTTCAGAAAAACTTGTGGAAGTCTTAACCGCGCATTCCGGCCAGTTGGAGCTCCACGAGGCCGCCAAACTAGGTGACCTCGCTCAATGCAAACTCTTGATCAGGATAGGAACATATGTTGGCTCCCTGTCACGGTCTCGGGCGGCAGGATTGCCCTAGCTAGCTCGGGCAGGTAGGTAGAAGTAATAACTGAATTCACTACGTGTTCTATAATGCACGGCAGGCAGGCGGGTTGAATAACAAGACGTAGCTCAAGGAGCTACAAGGAGGCAGGGCGGCGGTCGGCAGGTATACTCCTGCCAAGGCTCGCATAGGCCCTTGCAACAAGGCCTCTCGCCGGGTCCTAACATCACGTGTTACGCTGTGCAGCAAGCTTCACCGTTCAAGCCGTGACACTCCCGTGACATTAATGAGTCGACGCCTTTGCATTTTGCCGCTTTCTATGGCCGCATAGCCATCGTTCAGTTTCTCGTTCAGCACGCCCGCGCAAATGTCAACGCTCGTTGCGATAATCAAGCATTCCTTACTCCTTTAGCTTGGGCTCAGTATGCCGGACATGACAACATTGTAGAGTATCTTGCTAATGCGGGAGGCCTGGAGACCTGATTGCTTAGGGGGGAGGAGGAAGAGCTTTGTAACGATCGAGAGGCAGCCTTAGCCGACATTGAACGCAGGCTTCAGCTACCAAAAATAGCCAGCACATTGTGTATGAAAGCGTCCAGAGGGGGGCTACACTTCAGGTTATTTTGGCATAGGCCCCAGTGCCAATGGGGCATAAATTGCTCTGGAGAAGCTTCGCACTTTTTCTCGAACTCCATATTCCCGTCTCAAATCAGAGTTTATGATTGCCTCTGTTCCTGCTTTGTCGCTAATCTAGGTCTTGCGAAGAATTCGAGTCTCAGACCTTTCAGCGGGGCTGTCACTACTGTTCTGGCGGATTCCTGGCTCAAAAGGAGATTCCAAGAATGGTCGCACTCCTAGTTGGAGAGTTCAGGGTGGAAACAGGTGATCCCAACACGGCATTTCCAGCAATGCACACAACGAAGCCGTGTTTTGGGAGCATGACGCCTCTGTCTGACGACAAGGTGTTGGTGAAGGTTCGGAAAAGCTAGCGTATGAGCATTTGCTGTGATAAGAAATAAATTAATATGGAGTCCTTGTACGAACCCGACTACGAACATATACCCCTACTATGCGGTGAGATATGCATCAACCTCCCTGCGAGGTTTGTAGCATTTAGGCTGATCCGGAGTATGCGGAGTCGTACTGTACCGAGTGGAGTGGCATGCCACCTGTGCCCCTTATTTACTTACAAAATGAGAAAGGAGCTAGCGGATTGAGCTGCTTGCGGGCGATGTCAAGAGCCAGGAGGTCCCCATTCCCTCCTCTTGTTCCGAATGAAACACGGCTTCTTGCATAACGCGGAGCGTATATAGGGTGCGAGTAATCATTATGTGAGCTAGCAAGAGGACCCAAACGGTACGAGAGAGATCACAGGGGGTATTTCGCGACGGAAAACGCTCGATGACTTGATTACTTTGCATAGATATATCGATTGATCCCGAGCTCTCCATTCAAGTTAGTTTTAGTCGTGTGCTTGCGTTAGCGCATGAGTTACAAATGGGTTGAGGTGTTGAAGCAAACCTGGGACGAGAAGAGCGAGAGTTCAGACTCATAAGGAGAAAATCCCGGAGAGCGGTGGATAGCGACGGGGCCGTGCGCCGATTTCATAGCGATTTGGGGACTGCCCCGCAATGCCCGCAAGTCGACATGGTGGCTTGACGTGCGAGGGTGCCCGGCGTTGACTCAATGGACGGACTGACAAGGGCCGGCAGAATTTATCGTCATGGACCTAATAGAATAAATTCTTTCACTCTCCTCCCTCGCGATTCCCTCGCACAACGACCCCAAAAAAACCCTTAAAACACTGCACCATGCCGATGCTCGCTGACCCTTCCAAGAAGTATCGTCGCTTCACTCCGCTGAACCTGCCGGACCGCCAATGGCCCTCCAAGACGATTGACAAGCCCCCGCGATGGCTGTCGACAGATCTCAGAGATGGCAACCAGAGTCTGGTCGACCCAATGGTAAGCGCGCACTGTGCTATACACGTCCAGCACCCACTAATCGTGTGCAATGTAGGACGGTGACCAGAAATGGACCTACTTCCAGATGCTCGTCCAGCTTGGATATAAGGAAATCGAGGTCTCCTTTCCCTCCGCCTCCCAGACCGACTTCGACTTCACCCAGAAGCTCGTGAATACCCCAGGCATTGTCCCCGACGACGTGTGGCTACAAGTCCTCTCGCCATGCCGCAAGGAACTGATTCGACGCACTGTCGACTCCCTCAAGGGCGCAAAAAAGGCTCTCCTCCACCTGTACCTCGCCACTAGCCCATGCTTCCAGCGCATAGTCTTCAACATGAACAACGCCGAGAGCAAGGCTCTGGCGGTCGAGTGCACGCAGTATGCGAGGTCCATCACCAAGGACGACCCAAGCCAGGCAGGTACCGAGTGGGCGTTCGAATTCTCCCCCGAGACCTTCTCAGACTCCGATCCAGACTTCGTGATTGAGGTGTGCGAGGCTGTCAAGGCAGCGTGGGAGCCCAGCGTGGAGAACCCAATCATCTTCAACCTCCCAGCTACCGTCGAGATGTCCACCCCGAACGTATACGCCGACCAGATTGAATACTTCTGTCGACATATCTCTGAGCGGCAAAAGATCTGCGTATCTCTTCACCCACACAATGATCGGGGCTGCGCCGTTGCCGCCGCTGAACTTGCGCAAATGGGTGGTGCCGACAGAGTTGAAGGTACTCTTTTCGGAAACGGAGAGAGGACCGGCAACGTGGACCTGGTCACACTCGCGATGAACATGTACACCCAAGGCATACATCCTGGCATCGATTTTTCTGACCTCAAGTCAGTCATTGACGTGGTCGAGAGGAGTACTAAGATTCCTGTACATGCTCGTGCACCGTACGGCGGTCAATTAGTTGTTTGCGCCTTCAGCGGTTCTCACCAAGACGCCATTAAGAAGGGTTTCCAAGAGAGGAAACAAATTGGTGCAACCAACGAGAGCCCCTGGGAAGTGCCATATCTTCCTCTAGATCCCCAAGACATTGGTCGAACATACGAAGCTATCATCAGAGTCAACTCTCAGAGTGGAAAGGGTGGGGTGGCCTGGATTATACAACGCCACCTCGATCTCGACCTACCTCGCGGACTTCAGATCGCATTTTCCAAAATTGTACAAAAGGAGACAGATCACCTTGGGCGCGAGCTTCTACCAACTGAGATCACAAAGCTGTTCGAGAACGCTTATCATCTCAAAGTGAATCCGAGATTCAATCTTGTAGACTACGACATCACCGTAGACCGGTCCGTATCGCCAGCCCCACCAGAAGCAGGGAAGACACAGAGCACCAAGAGTCTGAGAAGATTATTCTCTGGCGTCATCGAAATCGATGGCCGTGAACATAGGGTAAAGGGCGTTGGAAATGGCGCTCTGTCAAGCCTAGCCAACGCCTTACGTACCCTGGGCATTGATTTGGACGTCGCAGACTACAAAGAACACTCCATTTCTACACAAAACCACGCTCGAGGCGAAGGCAGCAAAGTCAAGGCTGCAACATTCATCGAATGCAGCACAGCAGAATCAGCCCAGAAAGTCTGGGGTGTCGGCATCCACGAAGATGTTGTACAGGCATCTCTGATCGCCATGCTATCAGCTGCGTCTTCTGTATGGCGCCCTTCCACTTAATCCTTCCATCACCCACCCCTTCCCCCTTTCCTTCCTTCTGTCTTCGATGGCTACGTCTCTCGTCAAACCACATCGCTGACATAAACAGTTCCTGTCAAGTCGGCCTTCAACTCCTATTCCATTCCGACCGAAGAGATCGGACACGATAGAAAATCCGTCACCGAAACAGCTCTCCCCCGCTAGACCGACTAGTCCTACTCCTCAAGGAGCAGACCCCCTGAGTCAAGTAGTTGCGAACCTTGAAACAAAAGTCAACGGCTCACATTAAAAGAACATGATACAATCATGAAAAATATAGGTTTTAATTTCACGGAGTTCAAGCAGCATGTGGTGGGGTATCCCGTGTGGTATTGAAGATGGCTACCACATTCTCGATACCAATTTCTGATCTCACTCAAACTTTTGAATTGGCTCTTTTGCATTCACGTCTGGGCAGGGTCTTACCAAAAGCATGATTTGCACCAAAATCGCATCGCATTGGTTTGGGTACTGAACCATTCAATCAATCAATCTTTCGCTTCTGCGTGTTGTATACCACGTGATCTAAATCTTACGCTTCTCCCAAGGGCACACTCATACCATGTATGCCTTTATAAGCTGGACGCTGTGGCGGAGTCCATGCCGCTAACACCTCAGCTCTCACACTCTCGTCGATCTCCCAAACCTCAACTTTGATCGGCCGGCACGTCTCTTTCATTCCACCCTCCATCTCTTTCTCCACCATCTCGCCCTTGCCTTCATCCGCCATACTCCACCCCCACGCAGAAAGATCACCCCCTGGGCATGTGCTCAACGCACACAGCAAGTCCTGCTCTGCGAAGAAATCGATAAAGGAATCCGGCGTCGCGGGTGACGCCTCCATGAAGTAGCGGCCGTTAGCATCGAGACCGGTGACTTGAAAGACGTTGAGGACATCGTGGACATCGAACTCGGTGAGGCCGTGGGGTAGCACAGCGCGGACGAGGTTGGAGTGGCAGTGGTAGTCGTAGGAGGTAGAGGTGAGCATCTGGTTTACTGGGATAACGTGAGCCGTGCTTCTTTAATTTCAACCATCGATGCGTTCCATGACTATTCATCCGTCCTCCATTGCCCATAATATGCCAAAATGAAACTCAGGAAGTATCGAGGATAGAAGAAGAAAAACACAACGGAACTGCGCCCTGAAAACCTACCATAAGGATCACACCGCGTCCCCAGCAGATCATGACACCGCCCTCCCCACTTCGTCCGCCCACCCCTCTCCAGCTCCCCTCCCTCCTCCCCCGTGACCTCCCGACTACCAAGCCCACACCCATCCCTAACCATCCCACACAGCGGCCGCATAAACGGGAGGTTACTCCACAGCCGATCCCCCTCGCGCACATGGCTCCCCTGCAACTGCCGCGTGCGCGCCGCCCAGAACCTCTCCCGCGGATCGTGCAGGTTCCATACATTGAGGTCGCCGACCTGCGGGCCCTCGGGGGTCGAGAGGCGGAATATGCAGGCGGCGGGGACGGTGAAGGCGGAGCCGCTGCGCGGGGGGATGAGGGTGGTAGAAAGGAGGCGGAGGGCGGAAGGGGGGAGGCTGGCGATGCGGGCGTAGAGGGTGGAGGGGGGGTGCAGGGGAGAAGTGGCCGAGGTGGGGAGATAGGCGGGGCGGGGTGGGACGGCTTGGTTTGAGGGCATTGTGGGCCAGGGAGTTGGGAGGTGTTTGGGGGGTTGGATGGGTTGGGGGGAGTGGTTAGGGCGAGGTGGTGGCTTTATGGTGGAGTTGGGGAGGCTGGGGTTTTGGATGGGGAGTGGGATTTATTGCCTATTCTGTAGGATAAGAGAGGTGCGTTGAATCGATTCCGATATCGGAGGTGAGATTGGACTAGGACGCAGATTTTTGTGGTCTTGGTTGACGGCGTCTGAAGTGGCTCAGCGACTTTAGGGACTGTTCAAAACGATGGAGAAACATCTGACTTGGATTATCGATAGTAGGTTAGGGCAAGTCTAACATCGTCAATGCAGTGTAAGATGCACTCATTTCAATGGTCAAGCTGACGGTAGCACTCCGTGGTCGTATTCGTTTTGATTGTTTACATAGGGGGTTTTGTTGGCCTTTTTTAGCAGAAGGTGGTTGATACAGAGGAAAAGGGGATACAGAATGGTGCCGTATTGCCGATAAAGACCAATATATCGACCGAAAGCCTCCGACAGTTGCAACCCATGATGGGAAGATCCTACGACAGAATTCACCACACTTCCGATACTTACTTGGGAAGAACGTTCTTGACCAGTGTGAGGAGTAAGCCGACCGTAACTAAACCGACATGAGCGATCCGTTGCAATCGACCGTTTTAGTGGACCTGGACAGTCTAATCAAGGACAAGACCAGGGTCCAACCTGGATTAATCGGGTTGTAATCTAGTGAACTGACCCACATACGCGTTTTAGGACGCGTTCTATGCCCCCACGGGTACCCCTTTTCTACCCACAGGGTAAATGGAGGTCCGTGTCTAGTCAATGGAAGTCCGTGCCTAGTCTGTAAACGGTTCTAGCCGGTTACAATCCCTCTCTAATAAACGGTGGTAAGTGATCGATTGGGAATGGGCTGCGAACTATACCCCTCTAACTCGCTCCGTCGGCTTATTCCTCACACTGTTCTTGACAGCCTTGATGTAGCCCTCCGCGTCCCTACGCTTCCTCTTCTCTTCGTCCAGCTCTTTGCGCAGCTAGGCGTTGTCGTGTTCAAGTTGACGGATGCGCTCCTGAAGCTCGATGTTGTCCCCTGAGTACTCGGAAGTCTGCACGACGGGTGATGCGCAATAGCCCTCTGAGGTAGCCATCAAGGCGGCCTTGGCGTTAATAGGGGTCTCCCAACTTGGAGCGCGATAGCCCATGTCGGCCTCAGGAGCCCGGAATTGAGTCGATATCTCACAAAATCTGGGGTTTGTCTCCGTGTAGAACAGGGGACTCTCAGACGGTCGTGACGGTGTAGTCAAAGGCGTAGTGGAGATGGTGAGATTTGCGCTGTGTAAGACACGACATTAGCCAACACACGTCTATGTGTGTACTGCTGTTTACCGCCTCTTGGGGTGGCCCTGCGAGATAAACAGGTGTGCAGCGCCTTGAGGACAAGTTGATATCTTACGCTGGATCGCTGGATGGCGTATCATATCGGTGTCGTCTCGGAACTGGTGACTGTTCTGTGGGCGAAGACGTCCGGGATTGGCGCTTTGTTTTCACATTTTGTATGGTGGAAAACTCGTTGGGGGAGCCTGGGCGCCGGAACCAGGCGTACAGGAAGCTGTCATTATGCTCCAGATCCTCGAAGGTCCATCTAAGGATCCTGAAGATACGCCCACGTGAATCCTCCTTGTACACGGCGAGAAAACCCCCCTTCTTGGTCGCTTTATCGCATATTTGACCGACAGCGTGCTTCCAGGTTGCCTCAAAGTTTCTCACAGAGAGTGGGTGACGGCCCTGAACGGTCTCTGTGTACCCCTCGGATACAGCCTCGAGAAAGTCGCTACACGGCGAATTAGCAACAACAACGGCATACCTGGAGCGGGGGAGCGGGGGAGTGGGAGAGCGTACTCCCACCACTCGGTCGGATTGATGGCCTCGTCGTCAATCTTGCGTTAACCTTTTCGCGGGTGGCCTGGGGTTTTTGCCCCCAATGATGCCCGAAACTCTCCAACCTTATCAGCAGAGCGGTAGTAGTTCGCGTACCACCAGGTAGCCGTCTCGAGGATTTTGACAAAGTACCAATCGCATGCTTCCGAAGCGAGCATTTTGTTGTCTTTCGCTATCTGATCAAACACTGGCACAATAGGTGCTTTGGGTTCCGCTTTCTTGTGCCGTCCGCTTACCCGTCGTTCCGATGGCCCGTCCATTTTGGCGGCTTGATGGCGCGATGCCACTGCCAGCGTTGAGATGGAGTCGATGAGGTGGAGGAGAGAAGTTCGGGCTCGAGTGCGGCGTTGTAAAAGAATAGTTAGGTAGCGCGTGAGAGCTTCCGCTACCTAGCGGAAAGCGCGCGCTTCACCGCTCAATCTGTGTACACCCTTCTGCTACTGTCCGGGGTTGCCTGGCGACGTCACCGATTGCTCAGTGAGCGAAGACCGACGGCTCTCTCGGTCTGCTCTGTGTACGCCCTGTTACCGCTGCCTGAGGTGGCCTCGCGACTCTACCGATTGCTCAGGATGGTCGAAACATCCACTCACCTAACGGTAACGGCGAGCACCGAGAACTCGGATGCCACGCCGTCGACAAGTCCAGCAGCGATGACGACAAGCAATGAAGGTTATCGAGACTGACTAGCAGTAGAGACAAAAAGCAAAGAGATGAGATCACCGAAAGATGCAGAGAGGGATATGTCGACGGAAAAGGGGAAGTACACCTGCAGAAAGAAGGCAGGCATCAAGAAATCAAGAGAGTGATATGTACACAAAGCTAAGTATACGGTAAGCATGTTCACACAGACTGTTACTTCCATTCATCAACCACCCGGCCCAGCGCCGCCAGCATCTCGCTCTTTCTTGCATCATCGCACCAACTCCCCTCAATGCCAGCCCGACAGATTTGAGTCCACTCCGCGATGCTCAGATCGAATGCTTCATGGACAGCACAATAGTTGTCCAAGATGTACCCGCCAAAATAAGCGGGATCGTCGCTGTTGATGCTGAAGTTCACGCCAGCATCTAAGAATTTACGGATGGGCAAGTCCTTGATGGAAGGCACTCCCTTTAGCACAACATTGCTTATAGGACACACCGTGAGCATGGTGCCGCTCGCCGCAACCCGGCGCATGAGGTCCTCGTCGTCTGCAAGCGCCCTACCATGGTCAATACGCTCAATTCCTAGGAGCTCAATTCCGCTGGCGATGTAAGAAGCCGGGCCTTCCTCGCCCCAATGTGCGGTCCGGCGCAAGCCCTGCCTTCCGGCTTTCTCGAATAATTCCACGAACAAGTTTGGGGGATATTCAAGCTCACTCGAATCTAAACCAATTCCTTTGATATGGCCGTCTGAAAAGCTGGCCTGCACGTCTGCGTCATCAAAAGTCTTCAAGGCGTCTGGGACCGGCAGATGTCTTAGAAAACAGCAGATCAGTTCGGTGCTGATACCCAGCTCGGTCTGAGCACGATTGCGAGCGGCGTTGAAGCCAGAAAGAATAGTCGAATATGGAACGCCACGAGAAGTATGGGCCTGCGGATCGAAGAAGACTTCAGCGTGGTGGACGCCATCCGCCGACGCTCGCTGAAAGTAGTCCCATGCAAGAGCTTCGAAGTCGCCTTGATGGATCAGAACAGACATCCCGATGTAATAGAAATGAAGGAAGTCATCCAGTGACGTGAAACTAGATTTCGCATTCATATCAGTGCCTTTCTCGGAACAAGCTTCACGTCAGATCTAGTTTGAAGGAATCGACTGCGTACCGTTCATAGCGGGCCGAAAGAGTCTCTTGGGACGCAAAAACTGCATCATCTTTAGGTAAAGCAATGTTATTACGGCTTGCAAGCTCAAAAAGAAGAGGTACACTCAAGGCTCCTTCGAGATGGACATGATGCTCGGCCTTGGGTAACTTATTCAGAAAGGGATGCAGAGGCGACCGACACATTCTTTCAACAGCTAATGGGTCTTAGGAAAAGAAAATGCAATTTCTTCAACTCTGGTTTACGCCGTTAAGCAGCCCTGGGTCATCAAAAGCTGCGGTTGGGACACGAAGGAGAAATCTGCGGTCGATTTTGAGTCGAAAAAGCACGTACGGACTACGACGTTACCTCGAGCTATCGATAAGCACTATGTCGTTCTGAGACAAGCGCCCCACAGAACCAACGGCTTCATAGCCAGAAAAGCGTCTGCTGTTGTACCTGCCCATGTGGTGCAGCCGCCGTTGTTCCACCTTGTGCGCCACGAGGCTGTATCGAGAGGGGTTCAAATCTTCCCGTGTGCTGTACCGCTAAGAGTAGTATTGTCCTGCCCCTTGCGCACACATACAAACGCACGAACCAGCCTGCGATGCCACCAAACTAATAGCAAACCGGATAGGAAGGCAAGATGAAAGGAGTTGGTAAACCCCCACTTCGTTAATAGCGCACTCGGCACCGGCTTTTACTTTTTCAACTCATCTGCCTGTAAGGGAATTCTTTGCGATGAAGACAAGCTGAAAACTGCCAGGCAAGGCTATCATAGGCTCATTGAGAGGTTGATTAGCCTAAATGGCCGGGCACTGAAGCGACAATCCATAAGATCGACGACTTGGCCAGGGTTCCGTTGAGGCGCATGAGCGAGGTAGCAGCACGTGACGCATTCACGTGATATCGACGCTCAACATCAACCCGGAGGCGACATCTTGAATGGGAAGGTGGAGCAGAAGTTCAGCATGTCTGTGTGTCGGGACAGGTTTTCTCGAAAATGTCTCATAGCCCGCGGCCCTTCTTACCTGGTCGTCGTCATGGCCTCCGCCACGATCGACGGCGTTTCCTTCCCGGCTCGCACGTGGATTCACGGTTATCAGAATCATGCATGAAGGATGCTCAGCCTAGCGACGATCAATCTGATGGACGAAACGGACATCGACTTCCTCTTCAAGCTCGGGTACGACCTGGACGCACGCGAGAATTACGTTTCTGACCAGCGGTCTGGTGTTTCATGCAGGTCCGCGGGAGCTGGGACCACAAATCGACGCGCAGCCCCATCTTGGTAAGTAGAGCACGCTTGGAGGCAGCAACAGACACAGATGAGGCAGTTTTCGTAAGGAAAGGTCCCGCTAACGATCTTATCTGCATTCACTATTATAGAGTATCGGTATCTGGACTGCAACGGGTTACCCCGGAATTCAGTCGGCAGTGCCCGCGCTGGCCGATGACAGGAGGAACCGGCGATCCCAAGGAAAATGTGACAGGGAGGCGCTGAGCGCTAGGCCAATGAAGGGACCAGCACTCTAACGGCAGACTCGGGCGGAGGCATCCGAGCCGCTAGGAGGCTCATGCGCACGAGCAGGAAGCACACAAAGATAGGAAGATCCGCAGATCAATTCTCGCAGATCGTCAACCAGCACGCTTCATGTGGTTACTGACGCTTGGGACTAGCTACGTACCCTCCGGGCGAAGGATATCTCCACCTCACACGGTACGGCGGTTATGAGCGGTCATTTTCTTATGACTTTCTGTAGCTCCCACAGGCCAGCCGAGAAGCGGGAAGCGGGAGAAAGATTGTTGTTTTAAAAAGACGCACTGATGGCTCGGCGTCCTCACCGAGGAAAAGCGCGAGCACGACGGCGCCGGAGCATGGCTTGTGTGGCGACGGCACGTTTGGAGAGGCCTTCTTTGCGGTGCTTCTATTGTACTGCGCTTCTGACGCCGCCGAAAGCATGGCAAACGTGCCGCGAGCAAACCCTTCACCTCTTCACCCGCGACATCGGTTGAGGCGCGGGAGAGTCTAGGCGGGCCGGCACCCCAACCGCCCCTGTTGGTGGTGTGGTAGAATATGCACCCGGGGGCCGCGATGCAGGAGAGGTCTGGACCTGGCCGTGAAAAGGTCGACGACAGCAGATGGACTTTCACCATGCTTGCAGCTTCGACGGGCGTGGCACCCTCGCACAGGGCTTGGAAGCCTCCAGCCGATGTATTGCCAGTGGGGAAAAACGTGGCCGAGGCGTGTCCAGCGGGCGGCTAGGGCAGCGCCAGCGAGGAGCCTTGGAGCTAGCAGCCCGCCTTGAGCCACATTCATCACGACGGCGTGGCTGGCTGACCTCGAGGCTTGCCAGGTGCGCTCTCTCCCATCGGCATCCCGTCATCACCTCTCCCGAGCGTCCACCACCCCGCGGCTCTCACGACCACGGCTGATTGGCATTTTCCCCTGGCGGAGCTGTTGCCGACAGCTTTTGTCACGGCTGTCGCGCAGACGGTACGCCTGGCGCGCCGCGCCCCTGGGGTGAGCAGAAAAGCAGGTCTGGGCGCCGACCTTCTGCAGCAGGCGGAGACCGTTCCCCCTTCTCTGCCCTGCTCGCTCCCGAACAGCCAGAAGAACCCAGCAGCGGCCGGCATAGCTCCTCGAAGCGCAGCCCCTGGCATGGCGTGCACGCAGCCCTATCACGTCCCCTCGAACCGACGTCTCTGCAGCACCCGTCCACGCCTCGGAGACGCTGAAAGGGCTAGAAAAGAGCCTCTCGGCGCCCGTGGCCAGCGTGCGAGCCACAGGGGGGGATGCACGCAGGGATAGACGAGGCGGAAGGCCCTGCCCTTCACTGTGTTCCTGCGACTCCGTCACCTGCCAGCCGTGCCCCCCGCGCTGCTGGATGACCGACGGCTGTGTTGGCCACGGTGGCGACACTGGCATGATGGCAAGTCCCGACGACGGCAGCCGGGCGCGTGGGTTCACGCCGGTGCTGCGTGGTGGTGAGCATGGAGGGCCGTAGGCGTCCCGAAGGGCTCTTCTGGACGGGATCGCCAGCATCGAGCAGCTGTTAGAACTGAAACTTCCCACCCGGGTCCACGTCCGGCTCGCTGCTTGCTTGGCTTGCGGCGCCAGTGCCGTATGCTTCGCAGCTCGCCGGTGCATGTGCTTGTTACGCCTCGCGCACGCACCACGAGAATCATTGGGCTTCCATGGAGCACCGCACGCTGTCCTACCTAGCCCATCAACCTGCTGCCGGCCGTTGACGGCGGCGACGCACACTGGGCTGTTCCTCGGTCTGTGGCGCCGCACGCCACAGCTTCCCGGCCTAACGAATGCAGCTCCAGCGAGCAAGGAGCCCTCCACGGCCTCGTCTGGATGCCTCCCGAGTGGGCTGGAAAGCATGCAGAATCAGCTCCCTCTCCGCATGTGCTCAAAGGGGGCTGGCTGGACGTCCGCTGGCCGTCTTGAGCGGCCCTGCTTTTGCTCTTCCACCGCGCCGTGCAGCAGCATCCATTGTGCCCCCCAAATCTAACCTGCTCGAGGCTGTGGCAGCATCTCCACCGGCAATCGGTCTGGGGTCGATCAGCAAGCGTAACGTCACTCGGTGCTGGCGGCCAGCCGGCCATCACTGTCAGTTTTGTGGTAGGTATCTCCTGCGTTTATTCGTCCCGCAGTCCCCCGTCACCTCACTCTCCTGCACCTAACCTCTTACCCTCCCGAGCACAACGCCGCGAGGCCCCTATCCCGACTCGCTCGTTGTTTCTCCCAATCGCAAGCCGACCAGACCTTGCATCACGGCCACTGCTCGCTTCAGCCTCTGTGGGCACTGTCTCTGCTCGCTGATCTGGCCAGGCTGATGTATGAATCAGACCGGAGCAGCCGAACTCCGTGCAAAATCCAGGATCATTCGGGACCATCGGCTGGCATACCAGGGCCCTGTCGCACCGCGAACAAGCGCTTCTGTCGACGACTCTGGTCGGCAGCACTGGTCTGAGCGGTCAATTACTATCCGCCTCTTCAAACGAGCCAAGCGCGAGATGCATTAGCTCACGCCTGTTTTCTATTGGCCATTGTCTCCTCTGGCGCCGGGAGCCTTCCAGGTTGCTGGGCAAGTGTGGGAGGCGTTTCGGTTAGTCCCGAGCACGGCGGCGTAAATACCCCACAGCGTCCCTATTATCTGTCCCGGTATAGTTCCGCCTCTTTTCCTGCGTCTATCAACATGGATGCGCCGCTATCAAACTCATATCAGCGTCATCCACATCCTCATTCGCTTGGAATACAGACCTCTGCACCCTCAAATGCGTCGCAGCCAACCCTAATACCACCACCAACCGGTATGTTTGGAACTCCAACCTCAGGACGCCCGCCAGGTCTATCGGCCCCTCTACAGACTCAGCACACTGGGAATCGCTCTCCAGGAGGCTATAATGCAACCGCTTATAGTCAGTCATACGCCACGTCTTCGGTATCACCAAGCACTGCCTCTGGAAGTCTACAGGACCTGCCTCCTAATGACCACTCCATGAGTAGTGCCGGCATCTCCCCAACACACATCTCAAACGCAAGTCTCAATTCCAGTTTGAATGCGCAGAAGAGGGCGTATCGTCAAAGAAGGAAGGACCCAAGCTGCGATGCGTGCAGAGAGCGAAAAGTCAAAGTGAGTCGACTATTTAGCTACTTTGTCCTCAATTTTGCGCACGCAGCAACTGGAGTGCGTGCTGTGACGACCAGCACTTGTTGTTCACTAGCCTCTATCTGTTCCCGGTGTGGAGACCAGCATTGAGGAGATTTTGCTTGAGAGCTAGAACAACCCAGCTTCACACATCGGCCCCCGAACGGAGTAGTGCACCTTGCCAGGTGCAGATGATACTGCCACTCAAGAGATTTTAGTGTTTACGCGCACTTGCTCATGCCGTCGAATCAGGGGCCTGCGAAGCCATTCGCGACTTTTTGTTTCCTGTCATTGATTAGGAGGGCTGCTCCTTTCTTTTGTATAGCGGCTGACGAACTTCCTAGTGTGATGCTACAGAGACCTCACCCTGTTCAGAATGCTCCAGTCGAAGTCACAAATGTCAATTCACAAAGGAAACAAATCGCCGGATGTCCTCGATAAAGTACGCGTTTTCTCTTATTATTTGCACCCCTGTGACAGGTTTGGACTGACTCTGTTTAGACAAGTACAAGACCTACAAAGTCAATTAGCTGAAGCCAAGCACCAAATCAACAACCTAATGGCAATGCTTCAGGAGGGAGGAGCAATGGAGGTTGACCGCAGAGCCATGGACGCGCACATTTTGAAACTTCCAGACATCGTGCCAAATATGGAGAAGCGGCATCGACACCCAGTGATGAACAACTTCGACTATGTTCGCAAGAATATACGAATCTATGGCAGAGGGCTATTCAAGGCACCGCCACCCTACCGGCTAGGCACTTTGCAGCCCTCCATGGTCATACTACCTTCGCTACCAGCAAGAGACTTGACAGATCGTCTTACAAAACGGTACTTCGAGTCGATACACAGATGGTATCCAGTCATCCACTGGCCAACCTTTCAACTCGAAATTGACAGAGCGTACGCACCGGGCAGTTTGCAGACCATACCTGAAGCATGGCTTGGATTGTTTTTTGCTGTACTTGCTTGCAGCACGCTCGGTTTGGTGGGCTCTCCAAGAGCCGATCTTGAGGGCATGTCCTATCTGGAGATATCTGCGAAAGCCATCACGCCCTGGACCGACGACCCTACAATTGACTATGCGAGAGCTTCTTTGTTGATCAGCATATTCGTCACAGAAATGAACATGAAATCTGCTGGGTGGGTCTGGCTTGGGGGCGCAGTGAGAATTGCGCAGGATATTGGCCTACATTCTGAGACAGGTCCTTGGCCTGTGATTGAAGGAGAGATAAGGCGGCGAGTGTGGTGGTCCATATATGCTTGGGAAAGGCTAGTAGTAATCCAGATGCCGCTTATGGCCGTTGTTAATGTTTCATAGGCTTCTATCTCTCGAGCTCAGACGGCCGACCCTAATCGATGACGACGATTGCAACGTCGAGCTTCCCTCCCCAGTCGAAGATCGGTTTATACAACCCCAAGCAATCGTCCGGACTTCTACAAACTACGCACCACACATTGGCCTAGTGGCGCTTATCCCTACTGCTTATATCGTACCAAAGCTGAGAAAAACACTCAAAGCCGCCATCATAACACCTCACATACGCCAGACCTACGAGGAACACTTCCACCGAATTCTCTACTCCTTCCCCGAATCGTACCATCCAGCTTCGAAAAGCTATATGGATCCTATGGGACTGCCTGCAGTGCTCGTGCTCCAGAGCGCTCGGTCCCAGATGTATCGACACAACATGTCTGTATCTTTTGGAGTTGGGGAGCGCACTGTGGCTCTACAGGGATGTCTTTTGGTGGCACAAGAAACAGCGAGTTATATATCGAGAAGTATGCCCCAGAAGCCTCATGTCTCCGAATACCCGGAGAGCATCCAAGCTACCGCCTTGACTATTGCATCAAGCATGCTCTGCGCCCATTTGTGGCGAAGTATGCTCATTCTGTGCCTATGTGCAGACTTTGACGGGGCTTTGGTGTGCCTGCGCTTCAGTACCACCATCGGAGATACACGCAAGATCAACGCGGCCTGTGGAAGAAACTTAGCCTTCTTTTTAGATCGCCTCACGGAACGCGTTCACAGCGGTAATGGGGCGCACCATCAACTCGAACAAGATGAGGAGATGCTTGCTTATGTCAGCGGTGATGTACAAGGAAGCTTGGAGGACTCGTGGGTGTGGACAGGCAGCGAGGTTGGTCAAAATATTAGCCAGACACTCCCTTCTCCTGTCGTCGACTCGGCTACGAGAGAAAGCGGTGATGCGATGGATACTACCTCACTGCCGCTTCGACCAACAATGGTCCCAGTGGAGAAAGATACAAGAGAATGGGGTGGTTGGGAGCGAGTCGAGCGGATGATTTGCCAACTTAAGGACGAGCGAAGTCGAATGAATCAACCCCCACTACCGCCACCTCCTAACTACTATCACCGGCCGCTACACAACCCTGGGAAGAGATTACAACTGGCCCCGGATGCAGCCGCCCCGGCCCCATCTGCCGCTCCAAGGACACCCACGTCGACTAGTGTGGAGCCTGCCGGGTCATCTCGCATCAGCATTGCGAATATTATCTAGAGTACGACATCACGATCTAAGAATGCGCCGAGCATATAATCAGTAATGCTATTGATAGTAACTGACCGCGTGGAGCTTTCAGGCTCGATACGAATAGTTTGGTTTCATAGCAACGATTTCGGCGTCTCATATTGTTTCATTACGGGGTAAAAATATCTACAGGGCGGTCGTGTTCATGGCAGGTTTACGAAAATGTCTCTCCATTTGTTTCTAGCGGGTTCGGTTCATCGTTGCAGCGAAGTCGCATTACTCGGGACATGTGGTATACGAACAAGTGTTTAGGATTGGGTTGTTGGCCCGCGGCATCGGTTGGAGCGTTCCTGGAGGGTCTCTCAGCCATCAGCAGCTCGGAAGAAAATGGACGATATACGTGTCCACGTCAATGTAAGATTATAATGCATAGAGGCGCAGCACGGCCTTGGCTGCGTTTATTCCGCGGGATTATTGGGAGTATGGTGAGCCTTTCCGAAACTCTAGAGTGAAGTTCAAGGCTTTCGGTGTTCTCGAAGCCGTGGACGGTTCAACCAACGGCCCTGCTAGGTCAGCGTGAGGAGACAATAACGATCGGTGAGGCCGTGTGAAACTTGACAGCGTGGCCAGCGATGTAAATGAAGCCACTAATGCGGAAATTGGGCACTGGAAAGTAGTGAGGCTTTATCAGATGCTCCAGTGGTGTTACCGCGGGGGTAAGCTGTGGCGGCTGGGGGCAATGGCGACAACGGAAGCCCATTCTCCTGATGTGGAGTTGCTGAATTCGAGCTACAACGCGAAGCTGACACCGAAAGGCATCTATGATTGTGATTGAGAGCTGCTAATGCATTGATATTAGGGCTGCATGGTCTTGATGTCTTTGGCCCCAAGTGCTGTGTGCGAAAAGCTGACGGCGCGCGGTGCAGAATTTACCTGATTCAGACCATCACGACAGGGTCAGGAGACAGGGCCCGCACGCCACAAGCATCCCGCGAACCGGCTGCTGAGCCACGATGGCCTCGCCGACGGGGCGGAGATGATACCAACGAGCTGCTGAAACGTCGTAGAGCAGCATTGAGAACACTCCACGAAGACGGTCGGTGTGGGATATATCGCTCCGACGCCCCCCAGAGCGCGGCCGTGCGTGTGCTCGAAGGCATATAAAAGCACAGCAATGGGAGGGCCAGACGGGTTCGAAGCACGCTGCTCATTTGGCTGACACTCTTCCCCATATCTACAGGGTTCAAATGTGACAACCCCGGCCCCGTGCCTGATCGATATCGTTTCACTCGCCCCAGCTCCCGCAGCACCCCCCCGTCTGGCCCCCCTCAGCACCGCCGTCGATTGGCTGATGCCCCGCCAGCGTGCAGATTCCGCAGCAATGGCGCTGATACAAGCTTCTGCTGCCGCGGCGCCAGCCACGTCCTCCAAAAGCTTGAAAATCCCATACCCCGACCCCCCAACCTTACACCTGCCGTTTATCAACAGTTCGAGCCCCTCGCCGGCCCGCTCATATTCTCCGTCGATTGCTTCATCCCTCCCAGACCCAGACACCTCTACCGACAACACAACCCGCATCGACGTCCGCCTGCTCGCCGAGATCATGGTCCACCTCTCCCGCGTCCCTACGTCCAAGGACATCTCAGCCCCGCTCGTTGAAGGGCTCGAGAGGATCAAGTTCGAGCACGCCGACGAAGACGATGCCACCGTGTCTGTCTACGGCTCCCGCTATGCTGCCCAGGACTTGCCTAGGCATGAGATGCCAGAGCTCGAGATGCCAAAGGAAGTGTGAGTTGTTTTTCTGCCCCGCCATGCCCCGCCATTGGAACCCGGAGCTTCTAGACGCTGACGTCGTGGACAGCGCATACCGCATGATTAAGGACGACTTGACGCTCGACGGCACCCCGACGCTAAATCTGGCCAGTTTCGTCACCACCTATATGGTATGCTGCTCTGGTAGTTGTGTGTGCTCTGGTAAATAGTGCTAAATGACTGCAGGAAGAAGAGGCCGAGAAGCTGATGATTGAATGTTTCTCCAAGAACTTCATTGGTGCGTTTGCTATCTTATCAAGATGCGCCAGCTCCACTAACCAATCCTAGACTACGAGGAATATCCCGTGTCAGCTGACATTCAAGCACGATGTGTTTCCATGTTTGTGGCCACTTTCAAACATCTGAATATATAGCATGCTGACTAGAGTTCAGGATTGCTCGTCTTTTCAACATCCCCACGAAAGATGACTCCAACGCCATGGGCACCTCCACAATCGGTAGCTCCGAGGCTATCATGCTCGCGGTGCTCGCCATGAAGAAGCTTTGGGCGAACAAGCGAAAGGCCGAGGGAAAGCCCTTCGATCGCCCCAACATCATCATGAACTCTGCCGTCCAGGTGTGCTGGGAGAAAGCTGCACGCTACTTCGACGTCGAGGAGAAGTACGTGTACTGCACTGAGGATCGCTTTGTCATCGATCCCCAGCAAGCCATCGACCTCATTGACGAGAACACCATTGGCATATGTGCCATCCTCGGAACGACATACACGGGGGAGTACGAAGACATCAAGGGCATCAACGATCTCCTCGTAGAGAAAAACCTCGACGTTCCCATTCACGGTTTGTCCTCCATCAGCCACACCTCACAGTGCCCGTACTGACCTCTGAACAGTCGATGCCGCAAGTGGTGGCTTCGTCGCGCCCTTCATCAATCCCGGACTCCTCTGGGACTTCCGTCTCGAGAAGGTCGTCAGCATCAACGTTTCGGGCCACAAGTATGGCCTCGTCTACCCCGGCGTCGGCTGGGTCGTCTGGCGCGACCCCCAGTTCCTCCCTAAGGAGCTCGTCTTCAACATCAACTACCTTGGCGCAGACCAAGCCTCCTTCACTCTCAACTTCTCTCGCGGCGCCTCCCAGATCATCGGCCAGTACTACCAACTGATCCGCTTGGGCAAGCATGGATACCGCGCTATCATGCTGTATGCCTCCTTCTCCCCTCCCCCTTCCCCCTAACGTACCACATTACTAACCAATCTTTCACTAGCAACCTCACTCGCACAGCCGACTACCTCGCTGCCAATCTCGAGCAGCTCGGCTTCATCATCTTGTCCAAAGGCGGCGGAGAAGGCCTCCCTCTCGTTGCCTGCCGTCTCGACCCCGACTCGGACAAGCACTACGACGAATTTGCCATCGCCCACCAGCTGCGCGAGCGCGGCTGGGTCGTCCCCGCATACACCATGGCGCCGCACACGGAGAACCTGAAGCTCATGCGCGTTGTGGTCCGCGAGGACTTCACGCGCAGCAGGTGCGATTCGCTGATTGCCGACTTCAAGCTTGCGTGCCAGACGCTGGACAAGTTGGACGCGAAGACGATTGAGGAGCGTAAGGAGTAAGTCATTCCCCCAACCCCCTAACCTCTTTTGGTTTCAAGTATAAAACGGAACATCCCTGACGATCTGGGATCTAGACACCGCACGAATATGCGCAAGAAGGCGACGCGCACGGGCCGCCACCACAAGCTCAACGAGCACTTCACCGACGAGAAGCACAGCTTGCAAGGTAAAACTGGCAAGACGCACGGCATCTGCTAAGCAGTCCGTGTTTGCGTTCTGATATAGCGAAATCACATGCGAAACCACGTGTGTAGAAAGGTGAATAAAGGGAAATGGATCTCTTGGCTCAAGCAAGCGAAACATAGCGGGAAAGAAAAGATTAGGATTTGGATGGATGGACTATCTTTTTGAGCTGTGAAAGATACAAAACAGATAAGAAACTTCTTGGAAGTGCAAAACAACAAACCTTTTGATATATGCTGCAGATACGGGAGGGCAGTGCAGATGCTGTGACGCACGACGCGCGCCGCCGTCTATATATGCCAACAAGCCCCCCTCTAAGGAACTATATCATCTAGGCACAATCTTCTTCAGACCTCATAACAGGCCGTACTAACGCTATCGTCACCATCCCGCCGTCCAATCGGCAGAAACAGCTCAGTGAAGCACGTCCGCTCACCAGCACGTGACAGAGACACGTGGACAGTCCATCGGCCTATCGAATTCAAGACATGCATCCCCCGTCCACCACCGCATCTGCGTTACCCCGGCGAAAGAAGCGGGGGGTTTGTGGCACTGGTCTTAGAACCCCCAAAAGACGCCATGGATAATATAAGCTTCCACATAAGTCAGCTTCGCATACGCAACGCATGCAGGTATCCGGATCTGGGAAACCGCCAAGCTCTGGGTGTTCACCTAGCTGGCGGAAGGGTGGAGAGACAAGACATGCCTAGAGCTTGGCGCTGGCGTGCAGCGTCGATGTTGTGCGCTCCGCGGCGCGGAGGGCGGCGTCGATGACGGACATGGCTTGGTAGAGTCTGCGCTCTTGCAGTTTTGGCGCGACGACTTGGATGCAGAGGGCGGTGTTGAGGTAGACGGAGCGGTCGACTTTGGTCCCTGGGGTGGGCTGTTAGAATAGCATATAGATAGGTTTTTTTGGGTT